TTTTTTTTTTTTTTTTTTTTTTTTTTTTTTTTTGTTTCATACTTTGCCTTTTTATAAGTCACTTTATAAACAAGGTAGACGTAGACTTCAAACTTTGTTAAGGAAAATAAATTTAACATCTGCAATGCAATGATACATGTTGCCCAGAATGTTGCGCTAGTTCTAATATTATTTTAGTTTATGATTCAGTTTGGTTATCTACATTACTCCGTTTTTTCAAAATCTTCAGTCTTCTTCGTTAAACACAAAAAAGCTAAGCGTGAATTTCACAAAGTTTCCTCCCATTAGTTGTCGAGAAAAAAAACCTGCACTTCCCAAACCCTAGAAGATGAAATGTTGTCCGAAAAAAAGCAGTATTCAAACGACGAAAAAATAACAGTGCCGTCAAAGTGCCACCAAAAGTACCACTTTTGGCTGTTGCCTCAGACGAATTTGATATAAAGTAGAGATAATGATGTTGTTTAAAGATGGTATATGGAGGATCAATTGTAAACGTACCACAGAGTATAAACGTATTGCTTGCAAATCAAATATCAAAGATATACCCGGTGGATCGGAGGAACAAGTAATGTCTTCTTCTGTAAAAACACCAGTATTCTACAGTCCTTTAAATTTAAATTTTTAAGGAACGGAAAAGTTACCTTTTTACTTTTGAAAAGTTACACACGAATAATATTTTAAATTAACTACTGATCAAACTAACAAGCAAATTCTTTTCCATAGAGTCAAGAGTGGTTCAAAACCGGTGCGATTACAGACTGTAAGTTCTTTATGTGATTACTGTTGCAGTATTACTTTTAAATTCTATCTCAACTAATGCACAGTAAGAAGTTTTAAAGAGATATATAAATATAAACTTTACATAAAAAAGTTACTGTACGGTTGATTATACTACACAAGTTAGCTTTTGTCTATAAATCTGCACTGGTACGACTTGTTTACCTAAAGAGAAAGCTTTGTTTCAGGGCACCCACTAATCCTGCTTCTCTTCTTTATAATATGGACACTCGTTTTGTTCGTCTGTTTCGTTGTACTAGTCATTTAACGCATCCATACCATTTGAATAATCACTAGCGGAAATAATATAGAATCCAAGAAAGTGCGACGCTATTGCATGTTGCCAACAGTTATCACTTCTAACTCCTTCCGTTACTTGGGAATACAACAAGTGACCCTACCGCCGTAATTTGCTGTCACTGCTTTCGTTTATGCGACGTGCACGTTCTAAATTTAACTGCCCCCGTTACCGCTGAAATAAACTGCCTCAGAAGTCTTTATAAAC